AATATACAACGAAAGGAGACTGCAACCACACAAAAGGCCACACCATCTTGGTCTTCATACCTTCAAAGTAGCTGTGTTTGATCATAGACGTGGTCCATGAAGGAAAGGCTTGAAGATGATAATTACTTATGCTTTTTGGCCTCAAGTTAGCCTCCCAGAGGCAGAAAGAGAGATACCAGAATTGTTTAGCGGACGATTGTTCAACGGATCGGCTTCACTTGTCTCTTTTAAGAGTTGTATCGTGGTGCTGAGACGGGCAATGTTCACTGGCGTTCCCGACTACGATGCCGGCAGGACTATGAGTTGCCACGGGATCCATCGAGCTCCAGCTTTTACCCAAACAGTATATCAGAATCCAAATTAAATGTCTCATTTCAATCGACGAATCCATGTCGGGGTTTGGTGTTTGGAGTATACACTCCAAACATCTTCTTCTCGATGAACCATCTTTGTCTCACAGAAATCTCATGCGGATACAGACGGATTGAGCTAAATTGAATTTTTGTTTTATTAATACCCTGTATTCTTTACTGTCTTTATCGCTCTCCTTCTGTCTGTTTGTCTGTTTGTCCGTCCGTCTGTCTCTGTTGCATGCCACATTTTCCGACAACCTCTTGTTGCATCCTCTGGTTAGTTGGTTTACCCGAAACGAAGTGACTCTCTCAATCTTCACTCTTCTCGCTCGACAACTCGCCCATCGGATGAGCTAAAGGCTAGAATTGTTGGCGCCCTCTCGTCACGGACGTTTGTTTGTCCACAATGCAAAAATGTGCAGCGTCTAGATCCAACAATCGTGTTCAACAATCGAGTGAATTCTGGAGGAAGTGATGGGCAATTTGAGTCCGGTATTGAGAGTGACACGAGGAAGAAGTCGATAGAGGCGGAAGATAGGGAGGAGGAGGAAGGTGGCAAAAGGATTCGCCGATTAAGCTCCGAGGTGAAGCGACTAGATTCTACCGGCGAAAGGTGCTATGCCTTCTTCACGTCAGTGCCCCGCCTGGACGGTGAGCGGCAGGTAAGTGTGCAAACATGTTGTCCCATTGGACTTGGTCATAGGAAGAGGCCAGTTAAATTATTAATATGGTATTGTCGCCCAGTTTGACGCTTGCAGTTGCATCGGAGACTTGCTGAAAGTGCTGCCACCGTCATTTCACCGATTCTCCTGCAAGCAGGCACCCACATGACTGTATGACTATTGTAGTGGAGACATTATTTTGGTATAAAAAGTGCATGAACGTCGACTTCGTATGTCGACTTCACGGTAAGACTGCGGCTGATTCCAGTTTTCGTGTCGCCGTTTGGCTTCAATTCGACTTTTAGGATGATAGAGTCCACGAGACCTTTATGGTTTCGAGTGAAAACGGGATGAGTCTTCTTCCGTCGTGCCGCTTGACAGACATCCTCAGAGCTGGAAATCACTCTTGCAAAAGAGTAAAGTTGACACAAAGCCAAAAAGACCTTCCCACATGTTATGTGTACTCCCAACTAGGACCAAGAATATTCAAATAGAAATAGTTTATAGAATGATTTGGCTTTTTTCTGAGGTTACTCAGGTAAGTATACACATATATATATATATATATATATAAATATATATGTGTGTGTGTATGTGTGTGTGTGTGTATGTGTTTGCTTCTCAAATACAAGTCATGACAAGGAGGTATGAAGAGCAAGATGGTGTGGCCTTTTGTGCGGTCGCGTTTATAATAGAGACTAACGTCAATCTTGGCCTATCAAGGTTTAATGATTCATTTATTATCGACTGAGATGACGTCGGCCCGAATGCTTGTCTCCTTGGGATGATGAAATGTGATTATATTCGCGTGTACATGAAACTGCGAAATCGCCATTCATGGTTCGTGCTTGCATATTCATTAATGTCTAATGACCCATGGAATAGCATGACTGGGACTGCCTAGTCCCGGATTGATGAACTTTACAGAATTGTGGGCAAAAGTGAACGTGATCAGAGTCATCATTGAGCTGACCAGTTGAGTCGTATTCTTTTGGTCTGCAGGAAAACATCCTTTCTCTCCTTCTTTCTATCCATCAAGCATAAGTCCTTTTTGCCCATCTTCCCACCTCAATTGTCTACATTCACTGTTTATTAGCAGATGTACTACAATCAGCAAAGCGATGCATTTGAGGCTATTCGCTCTTGTGCTCATTTCAGGCTGACTTGATTCCGTTTCCAAGTTAATACACATACACAATTCCAATTCTCTTCAGCAGCCAGAGATAGTCCTTACTTGTTTTCATTCAGGATATTCTTTGTTTTATGAAGAAAGATTGAGTTTTGAAGAATTCCTTAATAAAATATTGTGGCATGACTCTCCGTTTCGAAGGGAAGGTTGGTTAGAAGGAATTTGTGATGTGGTCTCACCGCGTAGTGAAGACTGTTGAATTGTAGGAAGAAGTTATTAGCTAAATTAGAGGCTAAATAAGATCCCATAGCCAAACCCCGTGTCTGCCTATACAACTTACCATTGATGCTAAAATAACCATTATACATTGTCAAATGTTAAAGGCATTAGACGATGATACAACGTATAAGACTATACTTGGGGACCCGACAGAAGGCCTTCAGGTCCGATTTAAGGGTCTTCTGCAACAAGATGTAAACATTGGGAACTGGAAAATTGACAAATGAAGGCACTTTTTTAGCGAGATGCTAGACCCCCAAATGCGTATAGTCTGCCTAAAATCCATAAACATGATACTCCACTAACGATTATTGTAAACAATAGAGGTAGTGTGATGAATAAAATATCACGATTTATATGTACTCAGTTAAAGCAAATCTCCCAAGCTTGGAAGTTTTTAGCAAAGAACTCATACAACTTTATTAAGTTAATTGATACTCAAACGATATAAAGAGGAGATTTGCCGGTAAGTTTCGATGTTACTAGAGACCACAACATCTTGGTCTTCATATCTTTAATTAAACTACGGTTATAAAATTGCCAAACAATGCACTGAATACAGTCGGACAAAGAACACAATTGTTAGTCAATCTTCCTATCTGACTATTTTTAATGTTGTAAACGTTATGGTAGGGCGGCAGTGGGATTAGAGGGTAAAGAGTGTATTGATAGGCCAGGACAGAAAGAGGATTGATAGTGTAACCGTTTTCGGCAGAACGTTTGTCGAGGGATTGACTTCACTTATCCCTTTGACGAGTTCGTAGCTCGTGCGGAGAACGGCAAAATTCACTGAATATGCTGACTACGATGCCGGCGAAACGTTTGAGAATCTACTAAGTTCACTGTCTGATGCTGGGAATCATGACAGCTACTAGGGTAGACAACTTCGTACTAGGTGCGTTCGACTATGTCGCCCTGACAACAAGACCAATTTGTGACAACTAGGTCAACCCACTTCTATAAATCGAAAGGAGACTGCGACTATACCAGAGACCACAACATATTGGTCTTCATATCTTCAATGCTATTGTCTATGTACACTAACAATCCGATAAACGAGGCAATCAAGGAGCTAAGATTAACTCTAGATCAACACTCTGAAATTATAACAGGTAAAAACAAAGATTCAATCATTAGATTAGTCAATTTTACCACGAAGTGTACATATTATACCTTAAATCGCAAGTTGTATGAGCATACACGTGGTTTGGCTTCTATTTTAGTTGATAACTGCATGACCTAATTAGAAGTTCACGTATTTCTTAAGCTATCAGTTCGCTATATGGACGATTACTTTGCTGTTTGGCAACACAGCAAAAGATATTTGAACGTATGAAGACCAAGCAAAAGATCTAAAAGATAGTTTAAGTGAATTCCTTGAGCTGATAAATAGAATAGATGCAATTACTAAGTTTGCTACTCGCGCGTGTTTCCTTATTAATTTTTTATCGAACCACATATAGAGTGGAAAAATCAGAGTTATAAAATCAATAATAATAAGAAGTCTGCCTTTAGCAGATGCAAATCATAGAGACCAGGATATTGATAGATTGAAGGATATACTGTTTCAAAACAATTACCCATTAGGATTAGTAGACAATTACATATCAATCGTAGTTAACAAGCCTAGAGGAGTTTACTATCCGGTGCGGGCTTGAAAACTCAACGAGTATACTGGGTTTCTGATTTTGTCTTCCTGTCAGCTTGCGAAAAAGTTGCGTGAACTACTGAGGAAATGGAACATAAAAACAGTGTATAAAGAGAAATTAACACTTTCTTCAGTAGTTCCTTCGTTTAGAAAATATTCAGACCCTTTTTCTAGATCAGGCTATAACAGGGTTGCAGCCGGCCACTTTTTCTCTCGGTTTAGTATATTTGGCTCTAGTTCGTGAAATATAGATACCTGCTCTGATGATGTCTGTCATGGTGGTGCAGACGAAAGCTTGGTACAGGTTGCTCGGGGTTGCAGGACGGTGAGGCGAGGACTTCTTCGCACAATTCAACAGTCTTCCCTACTCGGCAATCCTCCTTCTGATTCCGATGAGGCCATATCACTAATTCTTTCCAACCAGCTTTCCCTTCCAAATGGAGTCATGCCACAATATTTTTTGCTTTTTCACTTTTAATCTTATTCCCCATATTCCGCGAAACGTTGCGATTTGGACCACTCTATCTGGTTAGAAAGTCTAAGAAGAATCTTAGTTGAGGACAGTTATCTGTTGGGAGTAATTGTTAACAATTTCAAAATACTAAGAAATAAGATGAAAGGAAACCATTATTTGGGACAAAACAGTCACAAGTCTAAGACAACTCTCCGTTATCCGACGAGGCCAATCTACCAGTCCCCTCCGGCCGCTTTCTTAAACGAAATGAAAGGTATTTCAATATCAATCTACTGGGGGATTCCTCGAAACCCAGCTTCTCTTTTAAGTCATTTTACATCCGACTTGTCCCACTTCTGCCTTATTGTTACATGAGGGCTGAATGTTGATGCCGGGTCTATGTGTCCGTTTACTTTTCTAGGGGGGTTGGTGGCGGAAGAATGCCGAGCCTCAGGAAGAAGATGCAGGGTCGGCCACAATGACTGACACTTCCTCATGCGGCTATTCAAAGAGCAGCTTTCTGCGAAAGGCACTCGCCTTGAGGAGAGGCAACAGCCGCACTCCACTGACCGGGGAGGAGGACAAGGTTGTGACTCGTAAGTGTCTCCAGCCCATGTCGGGAGTACATTAGGCAGAAATGCTTCTACTCAAGGCTTCTTTTCACTTTAGATGACCTCGACATTTGCAAGAATGTGCAGTTGCCGCGGGCCGATTGCCAGACAATAGAAGATGAGACTGTAGGGGCAGAGGATGATGTAGATGAGGCTGAAGAGAACTGTGTTGTCATGGCTGCAGAGGGAGGGGGAGAGGGGGGGAGGACGACTTCTTCCGTCTCAAGACATTCTCAGCGGGCCAAACGCGTCTCGTCCGGAGTCGCCAGTTTCTTTCGCAGACTCCTTCTGGCGCAGACTGAAGAGGAGGTTGACGCCATCCGCAACCAAACCGAGGCCTGTAAGTCTGATTTGGCTGTTGTTTCCCTGTTTTAACCCGCCGCCACATGTACGGCTTACTTTCGGAGGCCTTCTTCTTGAAGCATCCGCGACACTTCGTACCGGGTACGTCGATGCGCTAAGCCCCCAAGTAGGGCTTTGCATCAAATAGGTACATTGTTGCAGGGACCGATCG